CACTCCTCTCCACAGAAGACCTTACCAATGGAATATGATTTTTCGACAACCCTGAGTTCATCTGTGAATTCCCTTGTCAAATGCACCAGGATCCTGAAGGATCTCTTGGCTCCTGGTAAGTTTATGGGTTTTAGTTGCTGTAACACAACCTTTGTTGCAATATTGAATAACATTTTGGGGGTGCCCAGTCAACTGGTACATCCACAGACAGAGAGAGATGGGACATCATGAGAAATAGATGTAAAATGGCCTTTGATAGAAATACACATGATGTTTGCGGTAAAGTGTATGTTGATTGGGCATTGAAGCTGCTTCCAAAGGTGGCGTGTCACGATCGAAGAGGATCCAAGTAGTTCTGAAAGCGGCAACCAGGTAAGGAAACCCTGTTGTATCCAAGTCTCCTGAGAGCTGACAAGAAGGATTCAACAGTTCTGAGAGAAGCAATGGGAGTCCAGAATAAACTAAGAAACCAACAAAGCTCAGAGAAACCAGGAGGAACGGAGAAATCTACTGAGAAAGCGGCAGAGACTTGCACAAGGTGATTAGCAGCGGTAGAAGTGGGGAGGAGGTTCCAGGCAGTGATCTGATGTAGCATGCAGGCTCTGTGTGAGCTGGACTTCATCAGGGTGTCAGTGTTGGAGTGCTAGGTGGAAGATGAGGTTAAACATCCAGGAGGTGAACGAGTGTTCAGGAACTCCAGGTCCGAATTACATTGGAGGAAGGTAAGATGTGAAGTCTTTTATTGAAATCTCTCTGGAGGAAGATCCAAGTGTTAATAAGACTTCTATGACTTTCGGTAATGACCTGATGTATGTGTGGATTGCTAAATCTTCTGGAGAATTTGCATTTAATGTGCAGAGTATTGTGCTCGACTATAATTTGTTGATTGGTTAATGTTTGCATCATACTGATTATGTATGCAAGAGTGAAAGTTAGTACTATTTTACTTTATTGCTATTATAATGAAGTTATGTTTAATTGTTTAAAACCTTCTAATCTTGTGGCATTATTTGATTAGTAAGGATTCGG